GTGTGCCCGTCTTCAATAACCCAGTTGGTGAAGAAATGTAAAACATTAAACTCCATTTTAATTCGATATAAGAGTAGGCCATAGTGCCCCTGCCGGGCAAAATTTCCCTTATAGCACACTGTATGGCGTATGCCCGTATTCATTAGCCCAGAATATGAGCAGAACAGTAGGATAACGATATCTGTATGTGTATCGAAACGTAGCATGTTAATAAATTCAGAAGAAGTATATCCATATAAGTGTTTTTAATTTAATCTTGTATTTATTTGGACAACATGTTAGCGAATGTTTCCGAACTGTACACACTATCAACTTTTTCACCAACATCGCATCTGCTCAACATGTTACCGAAAATGTTGGCAGTGTGTACAGAGCTTTATGATATCAGCTTAATTATCATACTATTCATAGAATTATTTGACCAAGTGGCCATTACTACAGGTTACTATTGGTCTAAGTATATTCATTATTTAAGTCAAGTTGTATGTGACTTGGTTGGTCATATAAGTTAATATGTAAATATATTAATATTACCGAATAAACAAACCAGTTAGTAGTTACCCATCAAATAGATACTTATCACTATGGGCGACAATATGGCAGGCCTCTAACTTTAAAATTTTGTGGAGCCGTTGTGCCTGTGTGCGTAAAGCGATTAACTAACTGGGAGGTTCGGCGTTCAATCTCCAGCATGGAATCTGTCTATTCAACAGGTGCCGAACACAGGGTCTACCATGGACAGTGTAGTGTCTTGTCATTCTGATTGTACAGAAACCGTGGTCCTACGTTGGCGTGCACGTAAAAAAAAACCCTTGACAGATCAAATTTGAAACAAGACTTTAAATAAGAGTAGGTCATAGAGTCACTTTTCAGACATAATTTGCCTCATACATACATGTAGTACACTGTATGGTATACCCATCTTCATCAACCCATTTCATTTCTAGTTCAAGTTAGTCTAAAATTCTATTCTTAAATACCGGTAAATAAGCAGGGTTTTTTTTATTAAAATTATTTCTTTCAATTGACAATCAATCACAAATCAGAAATTGACTGTCAAGATCACAATGTAATGAATGAAAGCTTAACATGACAGAGCAACAAGAACAAATGTAATCTAGTAGACATTAAGTGTTAATGCTATTCACTTTTAGTCTTGTTCAAAATTATATATAGTCTTTAAAAATTCAGAATTTTTAGACTAAAAACTGAAAGAGTGAAGATTCCTTATTCTCAGTGTTTGACTTCCACTTCAAAATTTTGAACGTCATTTATTTTTGATAAGACACGTAAGCTTTGCAAATTACATTCATTTTCATGTTTTTAGTTAATGGAAGGGTATCGTAAATTAACGTGTCTACACCACTTCTTACTTGTACGTAATAGTATACATATAAAAAAATTTATGTTGGACTAAGGAATAAATCTTTGTATAATAATTATTTATTATTACAATGTGTAAGCTTATAGTGAACTGGTAGAGTCCGGTACTATAGATACACTAATAATAGAGTAATAGTTTAGTAATCCCTTGCAAACTAATATTCATATGAATAACATTGTGAAAGTTAAATATTTCAACAAAAATGGTTTTTAAAATTACTGAATTCTGAACGAAGTTATATGAGTGTTGGAAGATGTACATGTACAATGTACATGCGTAGAATTGTTTATTATTGTAGAAACGGTACTAGACCAACAAGACTATGTCTCAATCATTCATTTTATTTGCTATATATTTTTAAATCTTGGGGACATTCTAATCCATTTAAATCTCTGCCATCCGATGCTTTAGACTAGAGTGTTGATTATGGGCTTTTGTCATGTGAATAAATGTCAAAATAATAGTTTATTTTGATCATTTGAAGCTAACATAAAGACCTGCAATAGCGGATTTAGCTCTTACATAATGCATGTTTAATAAATAAACAGTGCTAGAGAGAGAGAGAGAGAGAGAGAGAGAGAGAGAGAGAAATGGAGTTTAACATCCACTCGACACAAACTAGGTCATTTCGGGACTAACATATGGTTTAATTTTTTTTCAATAATTCGCTTCCACATAGGGGTCTTTAGTAGTTGGAGGAAACCGGAGGACCCGAAGAAAACTTACGAGGTTGGACAGGTGACCCTACTCCTTGTCACGTACAACCAGGGATTCGAAACAATTCCAGTTGACTCAATGACAGGCCTTATGATACAGCACGCACGTGCTAACCATTCGACCATCCAACCCCCCAAATAGTGCTAGAAAATGTTAAATAATAATAAACTGAAGAACATTTTACACTGGATTACACATATGAAGAATGTGGGAACCCTTTGGGACTAAACCTTATGAAATCGTATAGCCATTTGTTACTAAAGTTCCCTAGTGTGAATCCATTTTGATTTAAAATGGTTCAAACATTATTCAATGTGACATATTATTTATCAGTCGGGATCAGTCGCGAAAAGCTAAATTATTTGTATCGTAACATTTCTACTCGCATATCAGCCTTCTAAAGTTCTGAACGATGTGATTGGCTTTTTCCCTTTTTTCGGCATGGACTATTTTTGAATAGGATAATAGATGCCATTTCTCTTGAGAGGGCTTGCTAAATTGAACAATTACGGGATCATAATCCGTTATATAAACGACCAAATTTAGTTTGGGCGAGGTAAAAATAGTTTACATATTTTTATAAGGCGTATAAAAGGACCAGAATAGTTTTTCGGTTTATGCGATGATGGTGATCTACTTGTAATCAAAATCTTCTAAATTTGCTATTCAAATTCCGGAGAATTTTGACTCTGGTATAATGGTATAAATTTGTTGTTCAATTTATGGAGTGTTTCGTTCTCCGGTATAATGGCTGCTCAGGACAGAACAAACGTTTTCTAATTGGCAGATTATACTCCAGTACCGATAGTGTTCCAGACGTAAAATGTATCTGAGTCGATTCTGTAAAGGGTCAACTTCTCTCTAGGTAATGTTTGACTCTGGATTTGGTTTATCTTAGCTGGTAAGGTTACTTCGCATTGAGTGTAAATGTAAATAAAATTAGAAATCTATGAGTGGCAAGTAGCGACTGGTTTCATTCAAGTCGAACTTATCAGGCTAAAGCGAGGTTGTGTGGATGTTCCCTTTATATATAGTCGACGGGGACTGGCGCAGTGCTGTATCATCAGAGCAACTGCTTCTGTTTAATGGTGAAAGGAGAGATGGCTAAAGAATTGCCGTTATGAATGCTTATTTGCATGGACTCCATGGCTCCCAACGCATCTGACTGTAAAAATTTAGACATTGTCGAAAAAATGCTAACCACGACCAGCTGCTATAAACTGATGTATGATCGAATCTGTTATTCTCTTGACTTGTGTGTAGTATGTTATTAACGATGCTAATTATTATCAATTAGTGATATATATGTAAGCTTACAGTATACTATTAATAAGAACACTAATTATACTAATGATGACTGGTATGGTACTAATAATTGAACTGATTATGAACAGGTAAATGGTTTCCATTTTACATACGTGTCTTGATCTGTCAACTAATTAATACATATCAGATTTAATTAAATTAAGATTTACAGATGAGTTAACCTTATGATTTAATTTGTAATGTAAGGGAGTAATATTTTCTGGAGTTAAGTGAAGGGGATGCAATAATGGTTTAGAATAGATTTAGAGTTTTTGTCCCCCACCAGCTCTCAAATGGAAAAAATCAGGTGGTTCTCAGCATTATAAATTAATCGCAATACTTAATACTTAATGTCAAGAATATACCATTGCTCAGATGTGCTACAAATTGACTGCAGCATATTCCATACAGCCCATAATTTCTTGCCATACGGCAAAATACTGAAATAACAGTGCTGCATGATCTAAGACAAAACATTCCAAAGTTATAATTTTATTTAATTTTAAAAACATTAAAAACAATTTGCATCCAGTTTCACTGACTCCCTATAACTTCCCCAAATAAAATCAATTTGTTTTTAAACATCTGTGACAATAAAACTATAGGCTAAGTGTACCGGTATTTTGAATTGTCAAAAAAAAAAAAATTCCCTCTTTTCCAAAGTCAGGGCGCCCCAAGCTACAAGTAATTTATCTTGATCAGTTCTTTTAATAAAGCCATAAATACTTTTCCACAGTCAGGGCACACCATTTAGCCAATTTGTCTTGATCATTTCTTAAAGCCAAGAATAAATACTAATAATAAGCTTATATTTTCCAGCGTCAGGACACACCAAGTTCATTTGTCTTGATCAGTTCTTTAGCCATAAATACTTTTAAATATTTGTTTATTTATTTTAATACTGGTACTAATAATAATTGATATATGTACATCACTACATGGATAAAGAGAAATCCCAGGTAATTGCCTGCTGAAAAATCATGTGCAATCAATTATTAATGAAGCCTATTTCATGCTTGATGATATACTTCAAAATGTGTTCTAGCATAACTTTTCATAAAATTGGAAGAATTGATATGCGGTAAGTCTACATGTATATGAATATGTATGCAATTAAAGTAGGCCTACTGACTGTATGCAATTTGCCTGGACACATAATCTGTAAAGACTGACATACACTGCATACAAGGTTCGGTGATGCATCAGAAAATATGTGTGTTCAACAGGCATGGCATGTGAATAATGTGATGTTGTTGTTAATGTTATTATAAATTTGTTTTCCACAATGAAAATTAATGTAAATACTTAAAGTTTATTTGCAATTGCAGTGAGTAAATCTATACTACAACATGTAATATAGTAAAAACTACCATCCACCTGGTTTTAGCCGTGTGGATCATTATCCAATCATTTTAGACGACATAAAAAGTTTATTTTCTTATCAACAGATAGGGCCTAAACAATGATAAATAGGCCCTAGGTCTACTTCAAGGTCTTTTTCTGATAGTTTTAAAGCATTTCTGACAGTCACAGTGCGGGCTTTAAACGGCGAGGATCAGTGGGGTAAAGAAAATAAAAGGCTGTCAAAACTTACTCAAGTTTTCTGAATGCTTCCTGCCCTGCTGCCACATATATTCCACCTTCTTCTAATTTCTCAAAATCCGTAATTCTATGTCCAAGTCTTGGAGTATAAACCCTACGGACGCAACCACCGGTAAGTTTCAAAGCATTTGTAAGTTCCGTAAGAAAAGAATCGAAAGTGCGAATCCGACGTTTATTCCAAGTGATGACCCGTCCACCGAAATTATGATCCCCATTTTTGTAAAATCGTAGATGTGAGGCATGCTCCAAATCTCTATTCTCGATTGGCGGCAGATTCGTTGGCCGCATTTCAGTCATTTTTACTCTCCCCTTTTTCAACACGTATTTTTCTCGGCCACCTTCCTTCGTGTTATTTTTCTTTTCTAAAATATCACACTCAATTGACTTCCTGTGTTTCATTGACGCGCTGTTTGATGGGATATGATTTGTTTACAAAATGTCTGACCTCTGACCCTAATCGCCATAGAAACGGCGTCACGATCACCGAGCAGTTACGGCAAGTTATCAGCACCGCAGCTAAATGAGCTACCGTTGAAGTGTAACCGTAGCGGTAAATTTATAATGAGTTCTACTTTCAATATAAAAACTAGCCATAAAATACTAAGTGTACGGGGAACGTACCACGCATAGCCATGAAATCGAATCCTGGAAGACACACACTGATTAGAGAAAAATACGAACTTGACTTGACAAAGCCACAAAAGCATAATGATAATGAAATTCTTCACTATATCTATATCTTTTAGTTCTACTTATAGATTAGAACCTAAATTAATGCTGTAGTGTAAGTAACGAATCCATGTGCAGTGAGTGGGAGTTCTTATAACACAAAGGGCAAATTCAGTATGTGGCGGAAGTTATAAATAGGAAGTGGCATCATGGATTCCAGAAAGAGTAAGGTGACCTCTATACCAATTTTATGCGAATAAAGTAAAACAAAAAATTAAAAAAAATATACGAATAGGAGAGCGCTATGGCATGGGCATGGCTATTTTTTTTATATACACCTCGCAGTTCATTTGGTTTCAAATGCCCATTTACTTACGATGTTAATCAGTAAAAAGCTTAAACAAATTTCATTTCATATCCTTAATTAGGAACTTAAGTTAGTTTTATCGACAAAATAACTTAATCTTGTCATAAAATAGCTTTAGATTATGATGTGAAAAGCTCGTCATCGGATATAGAGGAAAATAACTGTACATGGCTCATGGAGCTTGAAAAGAGCATTTACACTTATCGGCACGGCAAAGTTCTCTTCGAAACGAGCGTGTCTTACAACTCATGAATAAAATACTTTAGCTTCAGATAACATATTCCCTACGATCGATAACCCTGTCTTATTGTTTTACAGTGAAGGGAAATTGTTTTAATTATACATATCGTCCAAGACAATGGGCGCTCCCTTTACTGAAAGACCTCGTGAATAATACTGACGAGACATACTATACATGACCAACAATGAAACGACGCACATCGGATTAAAGAAAAACCGTTGTGAATAAAATCTTGTTTTGATGTTAACCACTTACATTAATTGCGCGATCATGTCGCGAATTAATACCATTTGAATTATTCCATGTGTGAGGCATTTGAGAACAAGATCCAACAAATGGACATGAGTATGGGAAATCAATGAAATGAATGAATGATCCACATAGGCAACTGTTATTACTACATAGAATGACAGAGCGGAATAGAAGCCTACAGATTAGATTTATGAATATTTCAATTGCGCTGTTTATGAAAAAGCCCCGCACACCTGTTTGTTTTATCACTTGGGAAAAAATAAGAACTCTACAAACCACCTTGAAATTAACCCGAATATCTCCCCCCCCCTCCCCCGTTTAAAATGTTTATTGGACATTAGCCTACGGCCAATCTGTTTTTGCAGGTGGGGTTGTCAACAGAAATAACCAATTTGAACCATGCTTTTTTAAATCGAAGAAAAATTGGTGTCTATTGCCATAAAATCAGACAGCCGTATTTCGCGGAATTTAGGCTAACCGAATTTACTTATATCTTCTTCAAATGTAGACCGACATAAAAATATCATCAAAAGAATTTGACCAGTAGGTAATTAATGCGACGGATGACCCGTAGATTAGCGACCATTCCGCTTTTTAATTTTATTTTTCTGTCTTGTTTTTAGCAAGACTGCCTGTTTATAGAGCCAGATGGTTTAAATTGACAGAGCTATATAAAATTATCACGTCTGATTTCCAAAACTATAATTATTTAATAATCGATAATTTAACTTGGATCGATAGGCCTACACTATTGTTAATATAATTATCTAGGAGTTATTGGACCATTACATTCAATATAATAGTGCAGATATAGATTTTGCCGCCCGGAATGGTCTTTATAATTGGGTTTGCCATCCCAAAGGAAACCCCCAGTGAAAACGGCATCAGGGGCCTGTTTCACGAAATTTTAACTAAAGATAAAATCCAAATTTTAGTAGATACTTCAATTTTGATTGGCTAAGCATTTAAATCAATCTAATATTATCCAACCAAATTACTAAAATTTGGATTTTATCTTAGTTAAAATTTGGCGAAACGGGCCCCAATAGTACAATAAGGGCAAATACAACGTTCTACACAGGCTTTTTTTTAAAAATTTTTTTCTCTTAGATCAAATGGGTCGCTACAAAAAGCACTCCCTTGCCGACCATCGACGTGTTCATTTAAGTATAAATAGGCTAATTTGCATTATGATCCACATGGTAGCAAGGTCTAGTTGGGAGATGCTAAATGTAGGCCGGTTTGGGAGGTTCGGGAATTTCCTGAGTCCAAAATGGCCGCTTTATATAATTGAGTATTTTGAGGAATACTAACCCTAATCCTTTTTAGAAGAATGAACTTGGATGAAATTTACCCTTTACCGCTCTAAAACGGGTTAGGGGTAGTATTCCCCAAAATACTCATTTATATGAAGCGGCCACTGTAGTTAGCATCTCCGGTGGAGGACACGGGGCCTTGCAAGGAAGAGCGTCTTGTATTTCCGATGAGACGAAAACCGAGATCTGTTTTCTACGTTGGCATTCATGTAAAAGAACTCATTAGATTTCCCGGTCCAAATCCCCCCCCCCCCAATGCCGATCTTCATAGCGTGGTTGGTGTAGAAAATAAAATAACAAGTCCATGGTTGCCTTCTCGTCTACAACTATAGTAAACACGCATTATAATAAATAACACAGAGATCCTTATATAAATTATTCTTGAAGCTAATCAAAATATCTTTCCTTTATACATAAATTATTCTCGAAGCTAATCAAAATATATCAGGTATATACGCACTAGTATATAGATCTTTATTACGGTAACAAAACAAGTGGATTAAACGACAATATAGACCCAGCTTACGTTTAATCCTAAATCGGAATTTGAATTCCTAATTTGTGAACAGCGGATTATACTGTTTTTCGATTAATCTTTGGATAAGGCCACACCAAGTCATGTTCTTTTGGACCAATTATACAAAATTTCCTTCTTATTTCGTCGGGAGAAAGATTTATTTAAAGACCAAAGGTATTTGGTTTGGTGTTCAAAAGCAATCTGATTAAAATACAGATCCAATTTCGTTTCTTTTTTTTTATAATTCAAAATTTTATTTCACTCGCCTTCGTGCCAGAAGAATAAAAAATCAAATTGGCGTAGACTAATGCCGAGGCTTTCGATGTAGCCAATTGAAAATACAAGAACATAATTGCAAAGGGCGAAGAAACGTGACCTTAAGATGGATAAACGAATTTGGTTGATCACTGATATAGGGCCTTCACGTCTGCTTCTTTCTGTAAATGGCGACCACCCGTCTGACAGAAACAAATAGGGGTCCAAATGTCCTGAGAAAATAATTTACTCTTGCAAAAAATTCTTAACATGTTTTAAAAATACTGAATTAATAATTTTTGACATTCAACTGAGAATCCATATCAATAGACCTTTCTGTATAGCTACGGGTTACATTATTCTATTCAATTACAATTGATAGAGATCCACAATGAGCAGGAAAATAAATACAATGTAGACCTACACGGTCCTCGTTCGACAGACAATAAACGAAACCAAAAAAAAAATAAAACACACAAAAAAAGAACAAACAAAAAACCATAAAAAAAACAAACCGAAAAACATGAAAGACACCAATTTAAAAAAAACAAAACACATAAAACCCGCTAAAAAAACAACCTCCAAGCAAACAAGACAGGACTTCCTTGTGGAGATTAAATGTAGAGTACATGGCCGACACTGGAGATATCAATATGAACAGATAAAATGGATTGACATTTGACATCGTGTCCCTTGAAAACCACTGATCGATTTTAACTCCCTTGAATAACTTAAAGGGACATTATGTAAGATTAGATAAAGAGCTGACAATTCTCGCTTTAATAGTTAAAAAATAGATAATGAAAAGAGAATATGTTGAAAATTCCAGTCAAATTACTTCGCTCTGAGCCGAGTTATCGGCAATACCATTACAGTGTAGTCACAATTGTCATTGCTACCGTTGTTAGAATAATAAACAAAGTCTCGATTATCTATTTTTACGCTAAATCATCAACTTCAAAACGTTGTCCCTTACCCGCCAACGCAGGGGTCGAACATGGGGGCTCCGGGTTAGGGACTAGGAAGCCAACGTCTTACTCACTGAGCCACCGTGGGTCCATGTTATGGAAGGAAATGTTTTACATTTTTGCGCCAACCGGGCTATGAAGACGGGGTGTAATATTATGGCAACCACGCATGCCGCCTAGAACATTTCACATTTTCTTAATATATGATATGTAAACAAGATAAGACGTATAACAAACAATGGTGGGTCGCCACTTGATTACCCTCATCCACTTCTTCGATTTTCCTCGAACACTACCTGTCAAAAACAAACTCGCACTTGATTACGGATGTCATTCTCACGATTGGCACATCCATTGTTTATGGTGACAAAGGATCATAATATTGTCAGATGTTATCATTTCCATCTAAATTTACTTGACACCTGTCTCCCAGTCCAAATAAAATAAAGGCGTTGTCAAACTATCAAAATACACTAGTTCTAGAAAGGTATACTATTCTAAGTCATACTTTTATCTAATTAGGCCCATAGTGTGGCCTAGATATTTTTTCTAGGGTTTCTACACATACGTACCAGGGACGTGGTGACCCATGATTTTGCATGGGGAATAAGATCCCGTCCGGGCCCCCAAAAAACAATATTTATATGTGTGTGTGTAGGGTGGGGAGGGGGTGGGGTGGCAGTCCCTCCCAATGCCACCGGGTAATATTTGACTGTGTGGAACATGCTAGTGTCGATTACTTCGAAATAAACGGAACGAAATTGACATCTATTGCTTTAAAAATACATTTTCAGCATATTCTCGTAACAATATCTAGTTTTTAACTAGT